AACCCATCACCTTTTCTGAGTAACCGACTACTTACTCATCCCTAAAGCCAGAGTCCCTACTTGACTGCTTTCGCTTATTTGCACACCTACTATTTGCTGAATACCAGGCTCTATCTACCCTGGACACTGGAGGGTGTCAGTGAGTGAGCAGGTGTCAGTGAGTGAGCAGGACTCTAAGAAAACTTTTATTTTCATTAGAGAGGTAGACAACAAAGAAAGTTGAGTGACAGCACAGGTAAGTGCTGGAGGGGTTCCACCAGCAGAGTGGGGGGAGCGGTTGGCAGGGGGTGTGTGTGGGGTCTCTTGGAGGGGGCATCTGAGCTCCAACCTGAAAGACAGGGCATAGTCCTCCTCACCCTCTTCTAAACAAGTGCTCGTCGCACTCTCATCATGTGTCTTTTATCCAGTGAGGCCAGTAAAGTCCATAAAGCCTTGAAATTCATGGCATGTCAGTTAAAAAATAGTAACAACTTATTGCTTATCTGTTTTAACCACAATCATCCACAGATCTGCTGCCAAATAATATTGCTCACCCATGGCATTCTCTACCTAGCTCTTCTACCTCTGCTTAAAAGCAAATAGAAAAAAAAATTATTCTCAAAAGCTCTCCTATATCTCCCCATCCTGCCGTGCAAACAGCCGAAATCAAATGAAGATATAAATCGTTCTTGCAGGCCACTCTTCCTGTCCCTGCCCACGTCCTGGTGCCGTCCAGGCCCTTCCTACAGTTCTTGTTTGTGCTTTATCTGAGACTTAAAACCCTGGGCAGGGATCCTTTCTCAATGCTCAAGACACAATAAAATATTAAATATGGTTGAGTCAATATCACAGTGCAGGATGCCCACATAACTCCCAGAAGAGGCCTAAGTATCTAAATCAATACCACAAGCCCAAGCCCCTCCCCGTTCTCTCTTCCCTAACCCAAGAAAAGCAGCACTGGAAAGAACCGCTGCTTACACAGGGGACCTTCTGTGGGCAATACAGCACAAGAACATGAAGCATCTGTAGACCTGCCATGGGTCAGGTCCAAGGCAAATACTCAGCCAAGTGGAAACTAAAAAAAGCAGATCCTTGAGATCCTGGCTCAAGAGAAAGAATGTTCTAGGAATTCAACCTGCTCAGAACTACACTGCCGGTGGTAGACGGGGTGTGGGGGAAGCAAGCTAAGCTGCTACAACCTTTATAGCATGCAGTTTGGCAAATATATGTACAGATGGCCTTAGAAAGTACATGCCCTGACACAGAACTTCCTTACTATGTGCTCGTCAAGGGCCTTGCCACCTCTCACCTTCCTAATCCTTGGGCCCACTGGACCTGCCACTTCCAGGTTGCTCTTTGTATCCCCCAGGGCCCTGTAACTCCAGGTGGAGGAAAACTCCCCTCACACACTCACCAAGGAACCCTGACACCAAGCACATGTCTGGTACGTGGCAGTCACCCAACATTTCACGTGAATGGACTTTGAGGATGAAGAAGCATCCTGAAATATTTAAGTGTATGGATGTTCATTTAAGTTTTGAAAATGCTGAAACATCAGAATCAATTAAGTATCTAATAAAGGACTGGATGAGTAAATTAGGCCACAGCCATAAGGCTGAGTCCTGTGCCACCATCTACTCACTGTGGTCTGAAAGTGCTCCGGGAGCCCCAGATGGCTACTGTAGACCTCCCAGGCTACAGAGATGCAGGATCTAAGCAGGGTCCCTGCTCCACAGACTCCCCAGAAGCCAGCCTAGTGAGGAGACCAAACTCCAGATGTTCCCATCAAGAGCTCTAAATCCAGAGCAAGACCAACTCTTTGGCTTGGGGCAGAGTGAGAGGAGAGAGACCAAAAAGAAACTGGAGAAAGTCAGAGGATCCTGCGGCCTCACATCCCACATCCCGCCCAGCAGCACACCTGTCCTCTCTGCTCTGTCCCCTAAATACCAGTAAGAAAATCATACAACATTGGTACAAATAACAGTGTCAGTCTTAGCTAACCATGTCCAAGCATGAACATGTCCAGGGATGCAGAGGAACAGCACAGCAACCAAGCCAACATCTGACAGCAAAAGAGCATCAACAGATGAACAGGAAGTGTTCAAAAGACAGAGACTGTGCCCTAGGGAAAAAAAAAAAAAAAAAAAAAAAAACACGGAACCCTCAAAGAAGAAAGGGAAATTCTCACAAATGCTTCATAGTCCAAGACAGTTAAGAACATGACTTCAGTAAAACAAGAGCATGAAGATGAGATGATGAAATTACACATGAAAGGGTTACCAGACACCTAAGAAAATCATGATCAAAACAACATAGCAAGGGGCACCTGAGTGGCTTAGTCAGCTAAGCATCCGACTTCAGCTGAGGTCATGATCTCACAGTTTGTGGGTTAGAGCCCTGTGTCGGGCTGTATGTGGACAGCTCAGAGCCTGGAGCCTGCTTTAGATTCTGTCTTCCTCTCTCTCTGCTCCTCCCCCATTCATGCTTGCTCTCTCTCTCTCTCTCTCTCAAAAATAAACACTAAAAAAATAAAAAATAAATAAAAACACAGCAAGAGGAGGAAGAAGTTAAGCAAAGTGTGGGATCCAGGGCTGAAAACAGAATTATGAACTTGTTGGAAAGGATTATGAACAGCACAGAGGATACAAGTTGAAAAGACAAATCAAGAAAAACAGGAATGAAAAGTAGACAATAGCTTTCCAACATAAAGGATCTTTGAGGCAGGGATTCCAATAAATGGAACATAAAATACATTTTTAAAAATACATATACAGAAGAAAATTTCCTGAAGTGATTAAAGAAATCAATCTACATATTTTTTAAATTTTTTTTCAAGTTTTTAATTTAGTTTTGAGAGACAGCATGAGTTGGGGAGAGGCAAAGAGAGGGAGACACAGAATCTGAAGCAGGCTGCAGACTCTGAGCTGTCAGCACAGAGCTGTCAGCACAGAGAGGGGTTCGAACTCACAGACCGTGAGATCATGACCTGAGCTGAAGTCAGATGCTTAACCGACTGAGCCACCCAGGCGCCTCTCAATCTACATATTTTTTTAATGTTTTTATTTTTACTTTTGAGAGAAAGAGCTTGAGCGGGGGAGGGGAAAAGAGAGACAGAGACACAGAATCTGAAGCAGGCTCTAGGCTCTGAGCTGTCAGCACAGAGCCCAACACAGGGCTCAAACTCACGAACTGAGCCAAGTTGGACACTTAACCAACTGAGCCAGGTGCCCCTCAATCTACATACTAAAGGAGCACATCAAGTTCCTGACAATGTGCTCAAAGCAGTAACCAAGGAAGTTACTAAACTACTTAACTTCAAGGGTTAGACAGTTACAGGCGCAAAAAAGCACATCACCCACAAGGGGACAAAAAGGAGAGGAAAAAAAAAAAGGCCACCCTAAGATTTCTCCCATTGCCTCTTTAAATACAGGAAGACTCTGGAGCAATGGCCACTATACTCTAGATGGCTGGAGACTATCATACCCAGCTGAAGTATCATTCAAGTCCAAAGCCAAGGGACAGATACTTACAAATGTGAGACATAATTGGGGTAAGAAAACTGTAATCTAGCCAATCAAGAGATGAGCCAAAATTAAAGATTCGATATTAGGAAAGCCCTACCTGAGTAAAAGCATTAGATCAATTTAAATACAGGACAAAGCCAAAGAAAGGTGGACAGTATGGTGGCAGACAGAATGAAAATTACAACGTCAAGTTAACAGTAACACGTTTTTAAATGAAAGGCTGGAGAGAAAGGGGGGAGCATATGAAGGCTGGAGCATATGAAGGCTGGCATCCTTGTCTTCCAGGCTGGTGAGTCAACACACATGGTCAGAGTTGCAACACTGCTTTAAAAAGCCACAATCCTAACCCTGTGACACTTTCACAAATCTCTTCCCTTAGTCTTAGATGAACCTTTTAGACAATAAGCTCTCACGTTAAGGAAACATTTTTGAAGTTTCTCTGGTTTTACTTCAGCTTCTTGTTTATTGAAATCAAGTAAAAACATAACACTTTTATTATAAAACAGCATTGTCAGATAGATTGCATTTTTACAAAGGTACTTCTGACCATCTTCAAAACTATTGTTGTACCTGTCCTAAATACAGTATAAAGTGGTCTCAATGAGGTGAACCCAGTGTGGCCAGAGGTTGCTTTGGGTGGCTAGGATGTGAGGCAAGAGACATTTTCTTCTTTGAACTTGTCAAAGGTTAATGGATTATATGAACATGCATCGTGTTTACCATTTGAAACCCAAACTAGAAGCTTCTGTGTGTATTAGCACATGTACTCAGAAGAGAGACCAGCACTTTGATAAAGGGGTACAGAAGATTTCCTTTTCTTTCTCTCTTACCAATTTAATTTCTAGAAGGTGAACGTTTATGACTCATGTGGTTAAAAAGACACATCTTGCTTTAGTTTTTTAATAGAAGGGGCTTCTCAGATGTAATGATTGATTCCCAGCCCCAGAGGTGCTGGAGAGGCAAGTAGAGCATTAGACGGTGCAGGAGGACTGAAATCCCAGAAGAAGAGGACGGGGACGGGGACGGGGTGGGGGGGGGGAGGAAATTGCAAAATTCCCGTGGGGCGCAGCAGTCCAGTAATGCAGCACAAACGTGGAACAAGGGGGTGAAGACTACCCTAAGTCAGACACAGCCCTCAGTCGCCCCCCCACCCCCATGCCTTGTACCATTACGATAGGTGCACTTGCCCAGGAAGGCATTCGTTATGTTCGAAACAAGATTCAGGAAAAAAGGGTTCCATTCATACTCAACAATATACAGCACCCTGGAACAGCACACCACGCAAAAGCCTGGCATGCCCAAGCTAAGGTGCCCAAGCTTGTAGCCTTTATGTGCTTTTGATGGGTGAAAAAAAAGAAAAGAAAAGAAAAAAAAAAAAAGAACTCATAAAAGCAGATGAGTTTCTAAAAGGAGTTACCTTCAAGCTTCACCAACATGCAGATACTCAGCATGCTTAGACCTTAAGGTTTGGAATGTTCCAACTGGAACAAAACTCACCAGTGGCTATGGCCCAGTAAACGTCTGATCCACTCAGTAACTCACCACATGCTATGGGAGAATAAACCTGGGACCCAGGCACTTGAAGCAGAATTCGAAATGGAGCGACCCGTGCATTGGAATCCAGCACTGCATCCAGAGCACCTACCAGGCGACCTTCAAAAGAAAAAAGAAAGTGCACCACTGAGCAGAGAGACTGACCAGCTGCCCACTCCCTGCAAAACAAGGCAGTTCGCTTTGTGTCTAGACTTGACACCAGAAGGCAGCAGGCTCACGTCCAGTTCTTCAACTCACCTCACAAAAGCCTGAGCTCCAGGAGGCCCAGGGCTCTGGCTGCCTAGTACCACTCACCCAGCATCTGTAATAGGGCCTGACATTAACAGGCACTCAGTACAGATTTGCAGAATCCAACAACCACAGGAACAAGGGGCCTTGAACAAGTCACCTAACCTAGCTAAGTGTTTCCTTTCCTCAGCATCTCAATTACAGAGGTAACACAACTCTATAAATAAGAGCTGGAAATATGGAGTCAAAATGTCTGACTCAAGGGGCGCCTGGGTGGCGCAGTCGGTTAAGCGTCCGACTTCAGCCAGGTCACGATCTCGCGGTCCGTGAGTTCGAGCCCCGCGTCGGGCTCTGGGCTGATGGCTCAGAGCCTGGAGCCTGTTTCCGATTCTGTGTCTCCCTCTCTCTCTGCCCCTCCCCTGTTCATGCTCTGTCTCTCTCTGTCCCAAAAATAAATAAACGTTGAAAAAAAAAAATTAAAAAAAAAAAAATGTCTGACTCAAGTCTCAGTTTCCCAACTTTTAAGCTGTGTGACACTGGGCAAGTTACTTAACCTCTCTGTGCCTTGGTCTCATTTGTAAAAGGGAATTATCACAGTATATCTACCTTATAGGGTAATTGTGAGAATTAATGTATGCAACATTCAAAGTTCTTAGACTATTGCCTGGCTGTAAAAACTACCGTTATTATATCATATCCTCAAAGGTAGAAAAATAATCCCTGCCCACTCCAGAAGGGGACCGTGAGAAGCAAATAAAATATTGAAGTCCTTCACAGACCATAAAGCACACAAAGTAAAGGTCTATCACTCTGTTGTAATGAATATCATCATGTCAACAGCAAACACACACACACACCCACACACCAGGTGGCAGACAATTTCGTATTGTCCCATGACTCGTTTGCCAGGGTTCTGCACTGTAGAGTTACTCCTTTTTCCCTTTGTAATTAACAAGTATTCTGTGAAGTTCTTTGAAACTGCATTCCTCCTTAAATTTAACTTATTTATTTCTAGCAGTATGGTTTCATGTTTCCCTACCTTATCCAATCTAGTATTACGATTATTTTGATGTTCACGTTGTCTCTGACTTGGCCAGTAGGTACCCCTTCAAGCTGGCTTCTGTGTCCTTTGGACGTGTCCCCATTCATTATTCTACTTTCTGGCAAATAATCCAAGTTCACCCTTTATTCTTCCTGCTCTAGCCCTGGCATCAGCCATTTCTCCAAGAAGCCTGGTTCCTTTAGTGAAGAATAGTATTTAAAAGCCAAGGTCTGGGAGCCAAGTACACTTACTGCTGTGGGGGTGCTTGCTCCCGGAACCTTTCAGTGGACAGAGCTTGGACTGTACATGTATGTACATATGTATGGGTACATGTTTATGTATGTATGCACACATATACTCATTGACATTTTCATTTTTATACTGATTTTATACATAAAAACTTCCAATTATGATCCAATACCAGCACTGCGATCAAATACCAGGGTCATTCCAGTTTCTTTCCATATTTGCAACTCTCTTCTCCAACATGAGGAACCTGGCTTCCATTATTCTTAATATATTTACTTATCTGATCAATTCTATCCCCTTTCTGACAGATGCCCTCTTTACCTTATCTAGGCTCCAACTGACCATCCACCCCACCCATACAATTACCTTGATCTGTCCCTATTAACAGCTTTAGGGAAAGAAGGAAGGGTGCCTGAGTTTTTATAGCAATTATTCCTTAGGCTGCTCAGAATTTTTGTCTTACTGGTTTGTTTGCACAGAGAGAGAGCACACATATGCGTGAGCCAGGGAGAGGGACGGAAGGAGAGAGAGAATCTTAAGCAGCCTCCACACTCAGTGCGGAGTGGGGCTTGATCCTGTGACCCTGGTATCATGACCTGAGCTGAAATTAAGAGTCAGATGCTCTAATGGACTGAGCCACCCAGGCGCCCCTCACTGGTTTCCTCTTGACTTACATGTAATTGAGAGGGCCTGAAAGCTGTCAGCTAAATAAAGGGGCTGCTACTTTAACACAGAACTTGCACAGCTGCTTAGGGGAGCTCTGTGATCAAAAGCACAGGTGGGGGGCACCTGCGTGGCTCAGTCACTTAAGCAACTCTTGATCTCAGCTCAGGTCATGATCTCATGGCTTGTAAATTCGAGTCCCACATTGGGCTCTGCACTGGGGGCATGAGTCTGCTTGGGATTCTGGATCTCCCTCTCTCTGCCCCTTCCCCACTTGTACTCTCTCTCACATGTAAATTAAAAAATGAAACTTAAAAAAAAACACGGGCAGGAAGGCAGGACAGGGTAAAGATTAAGCCGTATTTGTGTAAGATTGATAAAACATTTTTGCCTGTCAAAGCTTGGAGGGGGTTAGTGATAGGGAAGCAGATGGAAGGAAAGTAGAAAGGTGCTAAAAAAAAAAAAAACCCCACCCATCCCACATGCAGACCCAGTACTTCCCAATTTAAAAGATCTGTTGTAGACCCATCTAGTTTGCTAATAAGTAAAACCTGAGCAACAAAAGGAGGAAGTGAGAAGGGTAGGCAATGACTTGGTGTCACCATAACTCAGAAGCAGTCTCTCTGATCGGAAACAGTGATTTTTTTTTTCTCTTCAAGACTCAGGAGCTTTTGCAATGGTCAGGATGTTTTATACCAACACAACCAACCTGGTAGGAAGGTGGGGAGGACAACAAAGAAGCAAAGAGGGGACTTCTAGTTTCAGCTCCCCCGCGTAAAGAATTTGAAGTCCTCACTCCCATCCTAATGATAAGAAGCTGAGCAAACTGAATATCTGCGGCTTTTCTGGGACCCATCAGAGACCCAAGGGCACAGGTCAAAATCATAACCCAGAAATCTGGAGAGAGGGGACAATCCAAAGTCACAGCCCAGATCACTCACCTGAAGCAGAAGCCGCTGGGGCCATCAACTGATAGAACACTTTAATAAGGTTTTGACAAATTGCTGGGAGGCTGAGTGTGTGGACTAGCAGGAGAGTAGGAGACTCCTGATGGCCACAGTCTTAGGTTTTACCTGTACAGGTTTTACTACCAGGTTCTCGCTATGAAGAGCGAGGAAAAACCTCTCCTGATCTCCCAGAACATTCTCCACAACAGGGGCCTGCTCTCCGGCAGGGATGGAGACTCTCCAGAACCTTATCCCAGCTGGGGGAGGGGCGTTTCTGGGACTCCAGCCCCCTTCAGCCTTCTGGTCTCACCTGGTGAAGGGGGAGGGGTCAGGGTAAGGGAGGCGTCCAAGAAACACTGTCCAGAGCACATCCCAGGGACACAGACCCACTGAAAGACCAAGATTCTTTGATAAGACTTACAGGGTGCTTCTTCTCCCCATACTTTACCACCACATCAACAGGTTCTGGCATAATGACACTGGGAAGGACTGGAAGACTCTCAGACTCCATGTGAGGAGCTCAAGTTTCTGTATTTTTTTTAATGTCTTTAAGCAAGCTCTAAGGCCAATGTGCACCTTGAACTCACGACTCTGAGATCAAGAGTCACATGCTCTACCAACTG